CTGAAACCTCCACATTGCTTTTAGGGTTTCATGGGATTGTGTAGCATTTATGGCCATGTGAGCAGGTTAGCTATGCAAATCCGAAAGAGACAGTCTTCTCAAGTTGAGGGTCAAAGCATCTCAAGGAAAGTGGGACTCTTATTGGCTGTGCAGGGACTGGAACCAACTCATGTTTCCTGCCCCTGGATTGATCTGTGGAGATCCCTTAGTGCTTTTCACAGCTAACGTTCAGATTAGGGGACCTTAGGCAGATGTACCTCTAAATGTGTATTTATCTGTAGAGACAGCTGTGGGCATGAAGATTGGAAATAAGCATCTCTACTAACTCACATAATAACAAAAATGAAAGCATTGTACTAACCTTTTTAGAACAGCTGCAAAATTTCTAAATTACATAATGTACTCTTTAAACTTTTAAAATTCAGATATAATTACAAACAATGAAGGCATCCATCTTAAGTATCTACAGTTTCATGCGTTTCTGATGAATGCACATACTACCATAGCCAATACCCCAGTGAAGACATAAAGCATTGGTATCATCGTAGGAAGTTCTTTGTGCTTCTTCCTAATCATCCACAACACCCTCTCCCCACTCCAAGAGCAACCATCTTTATGATTTCTATCTCATAAATCAGATTTGCCTGCTCTTGAACTTCATCTGAATGGTCTAATACAGTATACTTTTTTATGCCTGGCTTATGCATGATGCTTTTCAGGCACATCCATTTGCACGTATTAATAGTTTGCTCCTTTTTATTGTTAAGCTATATTGCATTGAATGGTTATATTGTGATTTGCTTACCCATTCTTCTTTGGATGTACATGTGGGTTGTTTCCAATTTTTTGCTTTTACAAATAAAACAACTATCAATGCCATACACGTCCTTTTGTAAACATATTTTAATATCTTTTGGTTAAATGCTAGGGGTAGACTTGCTGGATCATAAGTTAGGTGTTTGCTTAACCTTATGGGAAACTGCCAGCTTACATAATGCACTCTTTTTAATTTAATTTAAAATTTTTTATTTTGGTATCTTAATATACAATCACATGAGCAACATTGTGGTTACTAGATTCCCCCCATTATCAAGTCAGCGCAATAAGATGCTATAGAGTCACTACTTGTCTTCTCTCCTGTATACATAATGCACTCTTAATTAATGAATCTGATTACCCATGAAATGAATTCTTTTACATGTTTTGTTTCATGATTTTTGTCTTGAATTCTATTGATAGGATATGGGTATCTTCTGAAATGTATCCTTAAGGATAAGACCTTGATTAACTATATCATGTTAGTTCTGAGTTGTTTTTTTTGCTTCTGAGTTGTTCATGCAGTTTGTAACCTGGAAGAATCATATAGGAAAACTGGGATGATCTCTTTCATGGATCTTCCCCATATTTTTCTTTATTGTCCTTAAAAATATTTTATACATAGAAAAATATGTGTAATGTGCATTAGTTATAAATCATAGTTATGAAGTGGAAATCTGTAAACCCACCGCCCAACCTGAGAATGAAAATATTCCCGAGAACAGTGTGTCTGTGGGTTTCTCCCCATTCCCTCCCAGAGGTAACCAGGATCCTGAATTTTGTGAATTAGCTTTATTGAACCTCTTACTAAAACAAAAGCAAAGCAGAACAAAAATATTTTATCATGTATTTACGTATCTTGCTTAAAAAAATTTGCCACACATTTTGTTTTCTTTGCTTTTAAGAGCGTCGTCAAAATGGTGTCAATCAGATGTGTATTTCTTCAGGACTTGCATTTGTGATTTTAACATTGTGTTTCAAAGATCTGACACTGCTGTGTGTGGCTGTAGTTTTTAATTTTGCTGTTGAATAATATTCTTTTCTGGGAATATGTAAAAATGTATTGCTTGTAATATTTGTCAATGTCATTTGTGCTATTTCTCATATTTTCACTTGGTATACATGTTGGGAGAGTCTACTACATTTAACACAAGAAGTTGAGATAAAAATGTTTCCAAATAAAACAGTATTTAAAAAGTGAAAATAAGCAACCAGTTTCAGCTCCAAAAGAAGGGAAATGTATAAAATTCCTGGAGAAACTGTGTAAAACAAAAGGTATGATGTATTTCCAGTGAGATCGTAAAGCAAAAACTACAATTAATGTTTTACTACATGATTTTTTCCTAAGGTTGAAAAAATAAGGTTGACTTTGGTAGGTAGCTTGTAATCATTGAAGAAAATATATATCATCTTCTTTATGTGATGAAGTTAGAGCTGAAAGGCAACCTAAATTTTGATTCTCTTTTTCTCAGTATTAAGCAAGGTAATAATAATCATCTAACGTCCCTGTCTAAAATAATTTAATCTTATTGACTTCCTACTACTTTAAGAAAAGACACTTAAACACTTCACAAATGAAAAATCATTTTGGCTGTTAAAGAGCCTTACAGTTTAAATATCTGTATGTTTTTCTCTTTATTCCTTAAACCTCCTTATGCTCTCAGGGGCATTTTTACTACGAATACTAAAAATACATTGTGTTGAATTTAAAAATTTTACATTAGCATTAGCCTTTTAAAAATCAGCTCTAAACTTTTGTCATAATTTTTAATAAAAATTCTGAACACTAAATATAATGAAAACATAATATTGGTATTTGTTTAGATTTAACTGCAGAATAGATCTGCAGGCTCAAGAACAATCTCATGCAGAGGACTCTGAAAATATAATGTATTTCTTCTTTGTTAATGTCCAGGAACATCTAAAACCAAAACACTTTAAAAATTAAGCTGCATTTCAGTTAAAACAATCCCATATGAACAACTCTCTTCAGTAAAAAAAAAAGATTTCTTTTCTGTACAACTGACTCACTGAATTGAGCTAAAAATTTCCAAGGAGAAAAATGATCTAGGGAATAAATGTAGAGGGGGTGGGGTTGGGGGAGAAGCTAGGTTTCTATTATGATAGCTTTTGACTTGTGTCCAGCTCTTAATTGAAAAAATTATTTACGAACGATGGGATGCATAATGTAACGCGGAAATCTTTCATAAAGAAACCTACCTTTCCTTTAGAACAGATCGCCTCTTACCAGACAGCTTGATTGTTTACGAGGCAAACAGTTCTATTCGATCTAGGCATTCACAACACTTTTACTAGCCATCTTCTTTTTATTTATTATTGACATCGATTAGCCTGAGTCATGAAACCCGGCCACATTAAAGGATAACGTGGTCCAATCACTATTTTTAAAAGTCCACGTATTGCAAACTCCTCTCTCCGGCCATTGCTGGGCTATTTCTCCCTTTGAGGACCTGTCTCCGCAGCATTTATTCATCAGATGGCAGTCCTGTTTTGGGGAAACCACTCCTTGGGAACACTGGAGAAAACCACCGAGGAGGCTTGGGGTTGGTGCTGGTTTCTGGTAACTTACGTAGCAAACGAAGCTACAGGGACGTGCCCGGGGGGACCCGAGGCAGGTGCGAGTGGGTTTCCGCAGTGACCACTGAGCGCGCGTGTGTGCGGCGTCGTTCCCCTGGTCGGGACCCCAGTCCGGAGACCAGTCCCGGCCCAAGCCCCCCCCACCTCTTCCTCCGGGGGCCCCCTCGGACACGCCCCCTCAGCCTCCGGGGCCCCGCAGTCCTACACCGTGCACGCGCCTGGCCGCTCCCCGCAGCCGCCCACGTGGTGGAGCCGGGAGCAGCGCGACGCCCCGAGGAGCGCACAGGGCAGGCCGCGGGTCGCAGAGGCCGGGCCAGAGCGACCCAGCCCGGCCAGCCCCCTGCTCGGGCCCCCACATTTCCTCTCTCGGAGGGAGGCGACACTCCGCGGGCCAGCCCTCCCCGTCGCCTGCCGCGCCCCCTGGCGGCTGCCTTGGGCAGGCACCCTGGGCACGCGGGGCAGCCTGTCTGGACCCCCCTTCCCCCGCTCGGGGCCCGCGGCAGGCAGCGGACCGTCTCCCCTCGTGCCCCGGGCCGGCCCCGCTCTTTCCTTTTCAGCTCCCTGCGAGCCCCGGAACTCTGGGCTCCACGGTCGCGACGCCGCGGCCACCCGAGCCTTGCGTTAAAGTGATCCCCTTAGTATCGTGGGGGGGGGGGCTTCTTTCTCCAGGTGTGCCCCCTTCGCCACCTTCGAGCTTTTCAACACACTGCGAAAAAATGCCGCATGCACGCACTTATTTATTTATTTTGCAACAGCTGCAAGAAACAATGAAGCTTTTCAAGAACCGGGGAAACGCGCTTTCCAGCCTTGCTGTTGTTTTCAATGAACCTCTCGGGCCCCGCACTCCCCGCCCACCCTGTCCCCCCCCTCCGCCTGCTTCCTCCTCCCTTCCTCGGCTAGCCCCCGCGCCCAGCCCGGACTCGCGCTGGGGGCATTGTTTTTGGAGTCTTGCGGGAGGGGAGGGCGCGTGCAGGGTGGCCGGCGCAGTGCGGGTGGGGGCAAGAACGGGGCGCGCGCGCGCGCGCACGGGTGCTGGCGCGGGCGGGGGCCGGGGGCGGTGCCTCGCGGCCTCGCACCCAACGCCCGGGCTCCGCTCCGCACGTCCCCGGGATCCCGGGCTCCGGCTCTTGGCTCGCGCCGGCCTGGGCCGGGCCCCGGGCGCGCCGCGGCTGCGGCTGTGGCCGCTCCAGTGTGCGCGCGGGCGTGTG